ACACAGGCAGTGGTGCTGGCGAGGCTCCTGGAAGTGGCAGCAGAGGTCAGGGGTGTGGGCCTCTGTGTGGTTGGATGGCCTGCTTCCTGCAGGGAGAGTAACCAGGTTTGCAGGGAGGGCGCATGGGAGAGCAGGAAGCAGATGTTCTGTAGGCAAATGGGGGTGGGAGCAGAGGTGTGTGTCTGGCTGTGCCTGAAAAGGGCAGGGAGCCCTCTGGCTTGCATTTCACCCCAGGGAAGGAGGGTGCCCCAGCCAAGAGGACAGCACTGTGTCTGGCAGATCTTGCAGTGCCGGGATCACAGGGCCCCTTGGAGGGACATGGCTCAGAAAAGCCCTGTCAAGGGAAGACCTTGGGACGGCACTGTTCCACCCTTACCCAGGAGACACTCGGGGATTAGAAATTCAATAAAGAAAATCTGCAAACCAGCTCACCCCAGTGTGCCAGGTAGGGGAGGGCTTCCCCGACACCTGGAATAAAAGTACACAGTCCCCACAGATCCTGGACTGCACCCCAGGACAGGTCCTTTCCCATGACCCGAATGTGCCTCCTGTTCACGGAGCAGCTGGCAAAGCTGCTGAGATCACGCCCAGCCCTGGGCTGCAGAGCTGGTCTCCTGACCCTCCCTGCGACCTCAGTGGAGGGAGTGGCTTTGGTGAAACCTGCACCACAGAGACAAATGTGATTCACTGAGTGACATGATCATGTCACCTCTAAATTTTTAAATTTTTACTTTGAGACAGGGTCTCCGTAGGTTGCTCACAGCCTCTCTAAGTGGCCGAGGCTGCTGTGAACCTACAATCCCCCTGTTCCAGCCTCCTGAGCCACTGGGATTACAGGCATGAGCCACCACACCTGGCAGGAGCATCCTCTAAAATCCTTCTGCACGCCAAGTCAACAAGGAGCTGGCTAAATAGCTCCACAGCTTCCATACAGTCATCCCTAGATGTGTAACAGGATTGTAATGAGAATGTCTGCATTTTTCCTCCTGGAGGCACACAAACAATTGTGTGAATTCCTTTCTTTATATTGACATAGAACATACTCTCAGGCAAAAAAACAAATAGTCTTTGTCAAAATTGGGCAAAGTTACCTAAGAGCCCAGGCATAACAAATGCTGAAGTCCAGTGAACGACTAGAACAAGGGACCCTTGGATAAGGGGTAGTTTAGATGGAATGACTTCTGCATTTTGTAGTAGGGCACATTGTTTTCTTTCCCAAAGACGTAACTCCTAGGGGGAGAAGAGTTATTCTCATGTACTTGGTGATCTCTCCTGGGGTGTGTTTGCAGTTAGCTTGTCTTGGCCAGGAGAGGCGTTTTAACTCTGGGTCTCTGCTGCTGGCTCCCCTGAGCTCCCCGGAGCTCCCTGGACCTTGCACTGTACTAGAAGGCACAGCCCCGCATCCAGGTGGTGCATAGCCATATTCCCAGCATCTCAGGAGGCTGAGGCAGGAGGATCACAAGCTCAAGTCAGCCTCAGCATCTCAGCCTCACCCTGTCACAGGGCTTGGGAAGAGCCAACTTCTCCATGCTGGTGGGGACTCCCCTCTGCTTGGGAATATCAGGAAAAGGGGAGGAGCAGGGGGGAGGGGAGGGCTGGCAGAGAGACTAGAGGTGTCAAGGGTGTCAGATGGCCTCGTGGTGCATACTGAGAAGGCTCTGCAGTGGCAGCTCAGGGGCTCAGGGTGGTCTTTGTGAAGAGGGTGGGAGAAGCAGCAGGCTGGGCAGAGCTGGACAGTGACCTGGAGACACTAGGGCAGGTCCTCATGTCATCTTATAAGCTGGCCTCCCAGAGGCACCTGCTCCTCTGTCCTGTCCCAGAGATGGGATTCTAGCAGACCTCATGTAGGTGTGTCCAAAATCACACCAGAGGGACAGGAAGCTGAGTGACCGACTTTCATCTACAACTTTTATCCGACTGCATGAGTTTGCAGCAGCTGCCAGGCCACCGTGCAGCCAGGGGACTTGCAGCACTCACGTTTGTGGGGGCCTGAGTTCATGGCCAGTGTGGTCAGGGCTGCTGCCCGCTGAGGCCTCCCTCCCCGTGTCCTCAAAGTGACACTTCTGCGAGTCTGTGGCTCGAGTTCCTCTGCTGTAAGGACACTGCCCACATCTGATTAGGGCCACCCTGATGGTCTCACTGAACTTAGTAATCCCTGCCCAGACCCTGTCTCCAAACAGGGGCACATTCTGAGCTACTTGGGTTAGGACTTCAAATAAGGATCCTGGGAGAGGTCATGTGGTCCCAGCCCTGTGAAGACAACTTGGTCTAGATCCACCTAGGAAGGCCGTTTTGATCTATACCAATCCCGTGGGACCTTTAATCAACACCAGTCCTGTGAGGACGCTTTAACTATCCCAGTCCAGGGAGGCCACGGTGCTCCCTCCCAGTCCTCTGCAGCCTTTCTAATCGGCACCCTCCCTGTGAGGACCGTCCTGTCCATGGTAGCTCCTTCACTAGGCAAAGGGGCCTTCCACCCTGTGTCTGTTGGTTGAATTCTTCTGCTCTAAGTTCTCAGGATAACCCCCAAATATGTCAACTACTGGATGACAATTAAGAATAAAAACACGCCAGGCGTGGTGGCACACCTCTGTAATCCCTGTGGCTTGAGAGGCTGAGGCAGGAGGATCGCAAGTTCAAAGGCAGCCTCAGCAGAAGCGAGGTGTTTAGCAACTCAGTGAGACCCCGTGTCTAAATAGAATCAAAATAGGGCTGGGAAGTGGCTCAGGGGTTGAGTGTCCCAGAGTTCAATCCCTGGTTACCTCCCTCCAAAAAAATAGAATGAAATAAAACTTTCATAAAATAAATAAAAGAAACACTTAAGATGTTAAGAAAAAGAGTGACTTAAAGGGGAAAATCCTCCAAGGATTGGAATGGAAATCCCAGATGGGGTAGCCTCACTGCTGCCCTCTGAAAACTCAGCGTCTCGGTCCTGG